CATAAACACATTTCATTACACCAAATACACCAAATAATGTTCTTTTTAGCAACGTCATATGACCCCTTTAAAGAAATAGGGACCCAAAAATAAAAATTATTTAATTATACTGTATATGTATATATTTTACTGACCGTTGTTTCATGCTTGCATGAATTTCTTTCTTCTTAGACCACAGAGAGATTATCTAACAAATATCTAACTGGGTGAATTCAATACAATGGCTATACATCATCATGATTCACTTTAACAAGTAATACATTCATCATGATTGCATGGTTTAATGCATTGCAAATACTATTTCCTGTTGTCTTTAATCCCCAGATCCCGCCCGTAGTATCTGTCTAACAGAAGCGTGTGTAACTGTGGCCAGTAAGATCGTGGAAGCTCTGGACCGCTCCACTGACCCATGTCAGGATTTTTACCAGTACGCCTGTGGAGGATGGGTCCGCAAAAACCCCCTGCCAGATGGTCGGTCCCGCTGGAGCACATTTAACAGCATCTGGGACCAGAACCAGGCTGTGCTCAAACACCTGCTGGGTAAGTGCTGGAAAACACACACAGACACACACACACACACACACACACACACACACACACACGTTTATCCTTTTTGTAGGATGGGATTTGCTCAGTAAATCTCATTCAGTGTTCACACAACAGTATATATTTAGAAAGACTTCTAAATGATTTATTTGATTTTCCAATAGAAAACTGCTGCCTTCATGCGTTTTGAAGAGTCTTACACTTCAGTTCTCTGTACGGGGGTTGTGGAGGATGGAGGATGGTTTTGTAGATCCGCTCAGAAACTTCCATCGATTCTGCTCTGTGTGACCTGATTACTTGTTTTCTCGGAGAGCATCCATCCCTGTCTGTTTGTTCAATAAGGGACAATGACTTTCTCCACTTATGGTTTCTTTGACCATATAAGCCTCTATTAGTCACCCTCTCGTGGATTTACAGTATTGTGCTTGCAAGTCTTGTTTTTATCAGATATACTTTTTAAAGAAATGCAAGATTAGAGTTTCAAAAACTTCCAATGACACTGACATTCAAACTGGCAGTGATGATGCCACTGACTTTGACTTGTGGAGTGATGATAAGTGGCTGTCAGGTGTTATTCTGTGGTTGCTATGGTGTTCTGAGTGGTTGCCAGGGTGTTTCTTAGGTATTAGTGTTCTGGATGGTTTCCAGATTGCTGCTAAGTAGTTGCTACTGTACATAGTTCTTGATGATTGCCATGGTGTTGCTAAGTGGTTGCCAGGGTGTTTCTAGATGGTTGCTACAGTGTTCGGGGGGCAGTTGCCTAGGTGCTGCTCTGTGCTTGCTATGTTCGTAGTCCTTGATTGCCAGGGTGTTGCTAGAGTTTTCTCTGTGTTTCCCAGGGCATTACTATGTGGTTGCTAGCTGTTCAGAGAGGTTGCTAAGATAGGGTGTTCTGAGTGGTTGCCAGGGTGTTGCTAGGTCTTTTGCTAGATTGTTCTGGACAGTTTCCATGGTGCTGCTAGGAATAGTTGCTACGTAGTTCTTGGTGATTGCCAGGGTGTTGCTAAGTGGTTGCTATGGTGTTCTTGATGGTTGCTAGGGTGTTTGTAGATGGTTGCTACAGTGTTCAGGGCAGCTGCCAATATGCTGCTATGTGGTTGCGATATGCATAGCTATTAAAGATTGCCAGGGTGTTGCAAAGTGGTTGCTATGGTGGAAAATTAAGAAACCAATTAAGAAAATGGTTGCCAGGATATCGTTAAATGGTTGCTAGGATATTCTGTGTAGTTGTCAGGGTGTTTTGAGTGGTTGCCAGTGTAATACTAGGTCACTTGCTAAGGTATTTATGGGATTGCCAAGGTGCTGTTAAGTAGTTGCTGCATAATTCTTGATGATTGCCAGGATATTCCGTAGTGGTTGCTGTGTTGTTCTTGAAAGTTTTCAGGGTGTTGCTAAATGCTAGGATATTCTGAGTAGTTGTCTAGGCATTACATGTTGTTTTCTAGGTTGTTCTGGGTGGTTGCCCTGGTGTTTCTAAATGGCTGCTATGGAGTCTTGGGCAGTTGCATAGGCATTGATAGTTTGTTGCTACACAGTTTTTGATGATTGCTAGGGTGTTGCTAAGTGGGTGCTGTGCTGTTCTTTATGGTTGCCAGGTTATTGGTAAATGGTTGCTAAGAGTATTTTTCAGGGTTAGGCATTGTTAGGAGGTTTGCTCTGGTGTTCTTTGTGGTTACTAGGTGTTTGCGATTTTTACCCATTTGTAATCCACCAAGCAAACTACATCCTGTAGGTCTGATCTCTTACAAAAATAATAGCACCTCTCCTTAACAAGCCACGTGATTTTACATAGGCTCATCAATGTCATTCATTACATGCTAAAGTTTTGTATGTAAGTATGATAAATAGCAATATTGATGCTTGCCTTAGCAAGCCATGCTAATTAATGGAAAGTCAAGCGTAGGAATCTCATCAATTTCACTGTCCCTCTCCTTCCCTCGCTGTATATCAGGATGCAGATTTTCATTTTTCAAAAAAAAAAAAAAAACTTTGCCAATGTTTATTATTTATTGAACTCTCTGTTTATTTATTTTCTGCCTTGCAAGTTCTAGCATTCCCTACAGGAAATGCTAATGTAGTTCGAACGCATTGCTTCATTCCTCTCTCTAATTGTTGGTCTGTTTGACTCTGCCTGTTTTATTTAATAAGCTGTTGTGATGCGCTGGCTTTGATCAATCTCTCTCTGTCTAATGAATGCGCTCTCACACTGGGGTCCCTGCGGCCGTTTTGCCCTGATGGCACTCCATCACATTGACTCTGTGTGTTGCGTCACCCCCGCAGCCGTCTTCATCCAATCACACGACACTGTTCTCTCACCCTTCTGCACATTTAATAACACTTGCCCTACATGAACATATTTTTGATCTCATATTACTCTCAGATATATGATCCATCTTTTGTGGATTGTGCTTCTTGGAGTGTATGTGTGATTGGGTGAGTGTGTGTGCAGCATGAGGTGAACGTAACGTTCTACGAACAGTAAATGAAGAATGTTCCCTAATGGCCTGCATCAGAGAACAGAGAGAGAGAGAGAGAGAGAGAGAGAGAGGATAGAAAAACAGAAAGGACGAAAGTGTTGAGAAGGAGTGAGGAGTGAAGGGATGAAATGTGGTCACACTAGATTGTAAGCTTGTGAAATTATTTTGACTCCACTGTGAATATGGGCTTCTCTGCAAAAATGATCAAATGTAATTATGACATGTATTATAGTCTCATTCAGAGCTACCAGGGCATTGCTAGGTGTTTGTGTTGTTTTGAGTGGTTGCTATGGTGTTCTGGTTGGTTACCAGGGCATTGCTAGATGGTTGCTGGGGTGTTCTGGGTGGTTGCCAGGGTGTTGCAAGGGAGTTCTGAATTGTTGTCACGGCATTTCTAGATGATTGATGATTAGATGGTGTTCTGGTTGGATTGTTACTTGGATGTTCTAGGTGGTTGAGGGTGTTGCTAAGTAGTTGTTAGGGTGTTCTGGTTGGCAGGTCAAAGCTAAGTGGCTGCCAGGGTTTTGTGGATGGTTTCTAGAGTGTTACTTGATGGTTTGCTAAGGCGTTTTGGGTGATTGGTAGGGTGTTACTAGTTTGTTAGAGAGTGGTTGCTAGGCCACTATTTACTTACTTACTTTTTATGATATTCTTGTTTAGATGAAAAGATAAAGATACGATAAAGATAAAGGCTCCATGGCCTTTACATAAATTAATTGAATAAAACATACTAATATCACTTTAATAAAATAAATGACATATTTTGGGCATTGCTAGGTATTTGTAATGTTATGGGTGGTTGCTGTGTGTTTGGTAGAGTGTTCTGGATGGTTGCTTGCTATGGCATTGCTAGGTGATTGTGATGTTCTAAGTAGTTGCTGTGTGTTTGGTAGAGTGTTCTGAATGGTTCCCATGTTTTTTGCATGAATTAATTTAATAAAAAATATAAACATCACTTTATTAAAAAATACATATTTATTGTCATATTTATTATATTGTTTTTGCAGATTTTTATTTTTTTTGCATTTCATTTAAATTTAAAGGTGCCATAGAATGCATTGATACAATATTTTAAATTGTGTATGTGAAGTTTTATCTCAAAATACCCCACAGATAATTTTTTATAGCTTGTTGAAATTGCCACTTTCAGGGTATGAGCCAAAACGCTTTGTTTTTTGTGTTTGTCAATGAAAATGAGCTGGTGCTCCCGCCTCCCTTTTCAGAAGAGTGCGGAGCTTCAAGAGCTCATGCTTGCTCGCGGGCATACCGGTGTTACGGTTTAACTGGTGGTGACCGTGTTACTGACCTCACATTGCTTCCAAATGCAATTTTTAACTACCACATTCCTATTTACGATCATTCTGGTAGCATGTGAAGGCAGCATTAGTGAAAACAGGCAGAGACAATGGTAGCTTTAGCAACATTAGCCTTACAGAGAGCCAAGGAGCTCTTTTGGAAAACAAAATATGACGCGTAATGCTTACTTTGTCTGGAGTCTGGACGTTTGCGCACAAAGCATTGGTATCGATCCCTCTTTCAGAAGCAATCTTTGCACAACTCCAGCGCTGAACTGACCCTCGTTTGTAAGGCAGTCCGGCGTAAAATGTTAGCACAAACGTATAGGACTTTTCCATTGTTTTCCGGGACATTTCCTTCGAAAATGAAATTTAACCACCGTGTCCTCAGCGGTCTATGGAGACTCCTATGTTCGTTGGTGCATCCCAACACA